GAGGGAGTGGTGGTGTGAACGAGACTTCGGGCCTTGGCGAGGCTAGAGGTGGAAGAGGAGGCGTTGACTGTCAATGGCACGTTGATGTACTCGCAGTCAATCCGGCGGGCCTGGCAGCGGCTGCAGCGCGGCCAGCGCTGGTCGCAGCGCCGTTTGCCACGGGCGCAGGCTTGGCAGGATCGGCGCAGTGTGGGTGGTTTGGGGGCCTCAATGACCATCGTGATAGACCTAGGTTATGACAGGGATGCGATAAGAGGTTGATTCGAGTAGTCTGATAGGAGAGTAAGTGGTTAAGTGGTGTGAGAGGAGAGGGAAGGGGAGAGAAAGAGGTCGGAGATGAAGCATTCCGGTGACGCGGCCGAAACCCATAGAACCGAGTCACGTGCACGATTTCCGTGGTTTCAACGGCCGAAGTTTCCTGATCGGGACAAGTAACAGAAGAACAAGCTCTTCACTATGGAGAAATTCATGCATCTAACTCATTTAACATTCAACACTAAAAGAGATGCCAGCCTCTAATAATGTGCCTTGAGGGGCCTATCTCCCGTCTTTCCCGATAGTTCGTGCTGGATCTTCTCCCATGACACTCTCGCCCGCCTGGCTGCATCCCCCGGCGTGTGCTCCGCGCTGCGCATCCGCCAGTCAAACACCTCCATCGAAACCCATCCCTTGAATCCCTTATCCACAACCCACGTCCTGACGGTCTCTAAAATAGGGAGATAACCACCCAGCTCCGCCTCCATTGGAAAAGGCCTCGCATGCTTCGACCAGGTGAATTGAGGGGCCTCACCCTGCAGGTACCACGGATGCGCCTCCGACAGCGGCGGGTCGAAGCGCTCCGCATCGGACAATTGCACATAAAAGATCTTCTCGAGAGGGCACTGCTCACTGAACCGCTTTAGAGACGCCTCCAGATCCCGATCGCCCGTCGGGAGCTTTCCTGACTTCTCCATATTACTGCCCCATAGCTTGGTATGCTCGTGGAAGTTATCGAGGCACAAGCCAAAGTTCGGTCGGTCCACCGCGTTTACAATACGAAGGGCTGTCTCCCAGGTGGAGCAGAGGACCCCCCACGAGAGGTACTCGTACGCAACGAAGATGACTGGCTGCTCGGCACTGGCGAGATCCGCCAGTTGCTGTAGATCGGATACGACCACTTTCTCGTCCGTGCTGCCGTCGGGGTTGTAGTATGAGGGAACCTGAAGATAGGTTGCCTGGAGGGTGCGCGCCAGCTGCAACCAGTGCTTAGCGGTAGCGAGTCGCTCGGATAAGGGCAAGCTGCCACCCTCGAAATTTTCAAAGGGCGCCAGGGAGATGATTTCGACTCGGTGCTCCGCGCAGAGATCTCTTGTTACTTTGGCCGCTTCGTGGATGGAGATGTTTAGATGTTGCGCAAAATCGGCGAGATCGGAGTACACGACCTCGATGCCGGTGAAGCCCTGCCGCGATGCGACCAAGATCTTTTGGTCGAGGGTGTGACTGGGATGCTGACCCAAGGACTTGGAGCCAATGGCTTGCTTGTTTGCCAACATTGTAACTGGTGGTTATGAAGTATATGTTAAATATGTTAATGGTTGATTTCTGCTGTCCATGGGTGGTGGTGAGTAGCGTCTTTAAACCGAGGATTTTCCCCGCATCAACGGAACTGGGTTTCCGATGGGTTTACAAACCCGGGCTTCAAAGTTTTTGATCGTGATCAACGGATTGATGATGACTGATAAATGGTGACTATTGCACTGTGTGGTACCCATGCTGACCACATGAATCCCTTATGCTATGCAATTCTGCCGCCCTCAGCTGTCTACTCAAGTAGCTAGGGCTGACCCCATTCCAGGCCAGAAAGACTGACTCCGATCCCGGAGCCAAAGGAGATCACAACTACATCGCTCGACTCTCATCTGTCGTCCTTTTAGTTCTGCCCCTCATTGATAGATGAGTTTGAGTGTAGAAACCCTGGCTACTGATGAGAAAAGGGACGACAAGCTCTAACTACTGCGGTGCTTGGCCGAGGTAAAGAGGCAAGCAGGGCAGGGAAGTGGGTTCGCAAGGCACAGAAATAGAACATTGAGACAAGCTGTTTCAAACTCATTCCACACAGAGTAGCTAATTTGTCCTTCAGGGTCTGGAATCTCCACCACCCGCCGATTGTCTCACATTATTCTAGAAGACTTGGCATTGGGGACTCCGGGACTGCCGCCCCTGATGCCCTACTTAAGGCCCGGAAAAGATCTACATTCTTCGACAAGTCTTACCACAATTGAAGTGTTAACAACTCAACATGGTCTTGCGATCCCTTCTTCTTGCACCTGTACTGGCCACCGCCTCTTTAGGCAGCGTAATCGATCTCGATATCAAAGTCCGCAATGGCTATGTAATAAGTTCCTGCTCAAATGAGAATGGCGGTTCATGCTCCTGACTCTTTACAGAGAACCATTGAGGTAGACCTGGGCACCCCCGGTGGCCCTTATGATCTGCTCTATGACACCGGGTCAACGGACCTCTGGGTGCTGGACGGCAAGTGTACCGACGATGGTTGTCCCAACGGCAGCGGGTATAGTTACACCCATCTTCCAATCTTTTGATATCCGAAGCTCACGCCGACCGCAAGATACTCCCGCCACAAATACAATCTCACATCTACAGGAAAGAACCTCGGCCTCAATGGCTCCATCGAATACAGCGGGGGTACCGTTGAGGGCTACAGCGCGTCCGACATCCTCAGCATCCCCGGAACCAACGTCTCCTATCGGCAGTCCTTCCTCGTCGCCACCGACAGCACCTGGGCTGCGCTGGGCGCCGATGGGTTCCTGGGTCTCGGCTCCTCGACGATCGCGATTAACAACGCGACCGCCCCCTTCGAGCAGATGATGCAGGACGAACTGCTGGACCAGCCCCGGTTCGCCATCTACGCGGGCAAGGGCGTCTCCACCACATCCGAGCCCAACCCCGAGAACAACGGCGTCTTCACGCTGGGCGGAAGCCACGAGGACATCTACGCCGACGGCGAGCTGCAGTGGCTCCAGACCGAGTCGCCCTTTGAGATCTTCAAGACGGGGCTGTACGGCATGCAGGGCCACAACACCACCAGCGACGGCAAGAATCAGTCCAGTGAGCTGCTGAACTGGTACGGGACTGCCATCTTCGATACTGGTAAGAAACATCGTCCGCAAGGAACAGGGATCTCATCTGATAATCCAATCTCAATGTGAAGGAGCCTCCTCGATCGAAATTCCCGAACAATACATCGATGAGGTCTACGCGATGACTCCATTCAAGTACTCGGATCTCCTCAACGGGTACCGGCCGCTGTGTTCCGAGTTCAACAAGACCTGGTCTGTCTCCTTCACTATCGGATTCTATGGCGAGGCGCCCACCTTCACTCTCACCGGTGACCAGTTGGCGGTGCCCGGCTACCAGGACGATGACCACTGCTTCCCCCCGTTCAACGCCTGGAACAGCTTCAACACGATCTTCGGGCAGCATTGGATGCAGAACTTCTACATGGTCTATGACTTTGGGTCGTTTGAGCCCGAGTCGTATAATATCCGCTTGGGGATTGCGCCGTTGAAGAAGGAGTATCGTCATCGGGCTTGAGTTGCCCGGAGAATACTAGGTATAATGAGCGGGTTGATTCTCCGATGATCGTGGATGATCGTAGAGGATGCTGAGCTGTGAGAATTGTAGCATCGCTGAGATTTGATTTAGCGCATACATCGTCAAAAGGTCATCTGCAGAGCTAGTGGGAGAGAGGAGAACACATGGAAATAAGACATAGTAAGATGTCAGGTCTAGCGATACTGTCAAGTAGAGCTGTTCGGCACCAACATCTCTCGCCTACCGTATCCATAGATCTAGGTATGAATCAGCCGGCAGGGTACGTTGACAGAAACGCCCAGGCTACGCCACCTTCTATTAATGCAGAGCTTTGAGGGCATCGAGCTCGCGGAAATTGTAGATCTCTTCGAACACATCATCCGACACCCACCCGAAACCCCGGGGACAAGCCAGATGGCCCTTGCATTTTGCTACACTCCGCTTCGCGCCTAAAGGGATCTTTCATTGGGCTTTCACAACCCCAATCCCAGCAATATCCTGGCGTCAAAGCTTACAACCCATGGGTCTGTGGTTCACTTAATGCCTGAGCATATTGAAGAGGAAGCTCCCTGAGCAGTTATCACCAAATCTGAAAATCGCACGGAAGCATGTGAAGCTATCCGCGGATTGTTGAACCATAAGCCTGTCAAGCTGTCAAGCATGCCGTTGAAAAGAATAAGTAATGTCGATCGCTGTCCAATCTGGGGACTTATTAGTGGGCTGCAGTGAAATTATGGAATGGGCTAGTAGACATCTATACTCGAATGTCCAGACTACGAAAATCTCATCGCGCCTGCCGATGTGGGATTTGCGAAGATGGTGACTCGGAGCTCTTCTCTGTCACCAAATGGACTCTTTGACGAATGATTGGCCTGAAGCTGAAATTGAATGAACAACTAGGACAATGCAATTATTTGAGACATTGCTGAGGTCCAGCTGAAGTAAATGCAGGCATGACTCAAGACGAATTTTCTTCTTTCGTTCGAGGCTGGTGGAAAGCAGTGATTCTGGTTAAAAAAAGGTATAGGGGATTTTCTTTCATTTTGCGGGTTATCTCCTCTTTTGAGTAGAAAATAGGGTAAAGGGCCTCAGTGGTGGGCAACTCAGGTTAGGTCCTTTGTGTCGAAGGTAGTGACAAGGGGATTGTTCAGCTTAACCGGAAGGTATCACCAAAAACATCCCAGGAAATACTTTTCACGGACCTGGTGTCGACACACTGATGTCGAACTGGCTGGCTTATAAAATGCGCTCCTGAACCGTAGGGATTCTCTATTCCCTTAGCAAGGCACCCACCCCCCTAAATCTCAACCCTAACCAACATAACATCCAACAATCAACACTATAATCCCGAAAATTCAGATCAGCCAGCACACAGCACTACTGCACAGAAAATACACTCCGCAAACATGGCCACCCAACACATCGAGGCCCTCGCAGCCATATTGCATCACATCCTTGCCAACTACTTTCCCGAAGAGCAAAGCTTTCAAATTCCCGCGACGCCGATCACACCCACTTCCCCATCCGCCGAAGACTGCGAAGCTCCCATCTTCTACCAGGTACTCACGGCCTCTAATACTAAAGGGGTGGCTTTCTTCCCGATCCTGATTGCCGCACCCATTGCCTGGCCCCAAGCAGCAACGCCAGATTTCCAAAAGACCTTGCAAACCCGCTGCGTCGAGATCCTCCGCTGCCACTGGGCGCGCCACACCCCCGGGGACTCCCGCCCTCCAGCCGTTGGAGCGGTGGTGGTCGGCGACGAGCTGCGACTTTGCTGGGACCTTTCGGTGCCCGGGACGCCGGGGCTGAAGCGGATGATGGAGAGTGTGATGGGACGGAAGCTGGATGGGCATAGCAGAACCATGCATGCCCACTCACGGGATTGGGCATTCGTCGGGGCCGTGTTGAAGGAAGTCAAAGATTTCCTCAAGCCGTGGATATCTAGTGGAAAAGTGGATGACCGTGTAGAGAACGGAGACGAAGAGGAGATCACGGCCGAGTTGGCCGACGCTTACTTGAAGGCTCTCGAGGCCGGGATGCTACCGCCGATGTAGCCTCTTTCAATATGCTGTACCTCGATGACTGAGGTACCTCCGGCTACATGTCTGAAGAACATCCGTGAAGGATTGCAATTCCTTTTTTACAATTTCTCCCGTCTTCTTTCCCTGCTGCAAGAGATGAAACCTATCTCTTAGAGCATAATTAGAACCACAAAAAAGAGACAATACAAGGTATGAAGCCCTTGGTCTAAAAGCCAAGGCATGAATTCAATTCATAATATCTAGACCTGATTCGTAGACTTAACCATTAAATAGGGCGCCCCAACCCGGTTGAGGATCTTCGCTTCGCGGGGCTTGATGAACATCGGTTCAGTGATCGCCAGATAGTCCTTGTAGTAGGGTTTCTGTATTTGCACCTAAATCAAGTGTCAGCGACGTAGTGATCTCACCCGAGGAAAGATTGCCGCTTTACCTTAAAAAGCCATTCGGCAGTTTGTGACCTGCAGACGGTGAGTAAGTCTCATGCTCAAGAATATTGCGGCGCCCGAAAAATCCCGACACCAGATAAAGGCAAGGGAGAAATAGACATACCAATTCTCCACCCAGGATACAGTGCCCGGCTCCTCCGGCGACTGGTAGACCTCGAAAAAGGTACACTCGGGCTCCCCGATGACATTTTCGTACACTGGCTGGAAAGCTTCCCAGAATTTGGGCAGGTTTGCCGGATCTATGTGGATGGTGATGTGGAGGGAGATTCCGCGGTTGGGGGTCGTCATCTTGAATGCTAGGGGATCGGAAGACGATAGGGAGGATGATATGAAGTGTGGTGTTGAGTAGGTAGTGAGAGGAGGATGGATGTTCGAAGAAGATCTCCATCCAGTGACTGCGATACGCTCATTCTTATAGCAGTCGGAGCAAACTAAAATCTGACATCTCGGCAAAGGCTGGCTGGCTGGCTGACCATCCGGCCGTCAGGCTGAGCTTACGGGTATGTTGTATGATCGCGCTGCCATCTGAAGAAATTCTGGCAAACGCATATGCTGTGAGATATGACCCACCCAGGATGAAGACACATCGCCCATCAAACCAATGAACACAGAGATTCATACCTATAAGTTAACTAGTAGGTTTGTGAGCACAGCAGTAAATGTGGATCCATGCAACACTGCCGCAAAGCTGGCTGAAGGGCTCGGCGTTAAGCTCGGAGACAACAAGGGACGGAGTCGCGGGTTTGTCACCTAATAGGTAAAGTCGTTAAAAGACGAGATGATATGGGTCTCAACGGTGGGCCAGTGGCACTATTCTCACCCACTCTATTGGTGCGGTCGGGTAGGGCGTCAACATGTGGAACTTGAGATATTAAGGCTATTTAGCATCTTTGTATATCAAACAGAATTGCTTGTTAGATTTCATGTTGTTTATATCTTTACAAACAGAGTACAATTAAGATGATAGGTTATGTAATTAAATGGTGGCATTGAGCTATAAAGACTGCTTATCACTGCTGACCTTGAAAGCGAGATGATGGTCAGCTGACTGCAGCTTCTTTAGGACATGACACGAAGCCCTCAGTATGGTGCTGAGCGGAATATACACGATGAGAAGAGCTTCGGTGAATTACTTCCCTACCCCTTTCCTGTATGGCTGACCCAACCCCTGGTGATATAGCCTGCAAACCTGATTGCAATTGCTTGTGGTGGTTACTGTTTCGATGGTTACTCCCCCGCGACCGATCTTCTTCACCTTTCCCGATGGGCTGAAAAGTATCATTGATGGAGAAGAGAAAAGACAGGTGGGGTGAAGTATTGTTCGAGCATGACAACCTATAGGCAAGATTAGTATACTGTATCAGAAGATTCGTTTCTGGTACGAACGCTTGTGCCCGAAGGGTATCTCCGCTAAGATATTCGCTCACTGGAGTTTGTAGTAAACATTTCGTGTAAAGAAAGCCATGATTAGACCCGTCGCTGTTATCCAATATAAATCAAGGACTATACTCGCTATGTCAAAGTTTCATCCTTGTGTTCAGGAAAGAAAAGGTGAAGCATTTCAGAATCCTACAAAATTGTCAGCAAAGGACATCGAACCATTCAACGTTGGTGAGCATCCGGGTATTGGGAAGAGGCTCATTGAGTCACCGTATCCATTATTTAGAATTCACGGAAGCTCAGAGACGCTGAAGACGCACAAGCAAGGAGCTGAATCTCTTTCGAGCAATCTCCTGGCTCGAAGGGCTGGGAGCTGAATTTGAGAAGCGTCGAGATGTACTGTGATTGAATACTCCTTCACAAGCTACTAGAGGCTTGCAGATAAGATAGTGAGTGAAGCTCGCAAGCGTAGGGAGTAGAGGACGGATTCATGTCATTAGTAAAAAGAGCAGACAGTTTGTAGTCGGGGCAGAGCTGGGCTCCGTGGAGGGAGATCAGAGAAGCCGAAAGAGTAAATTATACTTAGGATTATAGAACCCATTGATCTGATTTATGAATTGGATAGACTATTCAAAGCATAGATGATTATTTCCTATGACTGGAGTATCAGTGATACATCATTTGTGGTAAATAGTGTTTTGTTGTTGGTGCTTTTATATTCATTTTTCTGGGTATACAAAGATTGCAGTAGCACAATAGAACTTAGGAGAAATCCACTCAGACAACCTCACACCATTGTTTGTTTTCCATTCCTTCGTAGCCCGACACACCGCACAAAAAGAAGACTATTGCGATCATAGATAATCGACTTCGGTGATGGCCGACATATGCGGAACAAGGGAGTTGCAAAACCGCGACTAGCAACAACTAGAGAGTAGGTCGGACAAGGCACTTATAACTGTAAATGGAAGTCTACTGATGATAACAAAGAAAGTACTAACTAGACCCTGGTCAATCGGCTGACATATACCTGATTCGAGACCGGCATTTGCGTGACCAACCCCTCGTATGGGCTCACCGGAAGTCGGCGATAAGCCGTGCATGGCGGCATATGGCATTATCCGCAGCTTCAATCACGTCGCTTTCAGCAACTCAGGATCTAGTATCGGCAACGTTCCACAAAACTAAGCTGATAAGCATGTCGCGATAGTGCAGCGACATACGGACTTCTGCGGGGTACGGGTGCTATGTCCTAGAGTTTGTAGGCAGTAGAGCGAGAGTCTCAGAAGATAAGGTCAGAAGAGGAATTGGGATATAAGAAGTCATCGTCCTCACCTCATGCAAGTATACTCAACTTACTCAATCAACCAGATCACATCCGGATCCAACAAAAAGGTGTCCTTCTTCCTACCATGGCTCCATCTCTGACCGAAACGGCCGCCCATGTCGTTCCCATCCCCACCAAGCCATCACAAAGAGAACCTGTCCAAGCGACCGGCGCACTCGACGCCTACGACTCCTTCGACGTGACCCCCATCATCGGTCGCGAGTTCAGCAATGCGAACCTGAAAGAATGGCTGCGCGCCCCGAACTCTGATGATCTCCTGCGAGAGCTCGCCCTCACCGGTACAGGATCCTCACGTCTATGAGAAACCCTCCTTGAATCGCTTGTTAACCAAAGGATGAGACAGTATCCCAGCGCGGCGTGGTCTTCTTCCGCAAACAAGACGACCTCGACAACGACCTCCAAAAGGAACTCGTGCAGCGGCTGGGCCAACTCTCCGGCAAGCCCTCCACCTCGGGACTGCACGTCCACCCGATCATCAACGCGAGCCGGGAGCACGGCGACAAGGACAACGAGATCAGCGTGATCAGCTCGCGGGCGCGCCAGAAGCTCTTCAAGGGGTTCGAAAAACGCCAGAGCAACAAGCGCGAGTGGCACAGTGATATCACCTTCGAGCCGATTCCGAGCGACTATACGATCTTGCGGCTGACGGAGTTGCCGACGACGGGTGGGGGTGAGTACAACCTAGCCCTGAACCGGATGAGGTGCTTGCTTGAATCTATCACACGAGACTGACCACGACTTGACAGACACCCTGTGGGCCTCCGGCTACGAGCTGTACGATCGCATCTCCGAGCCTTACCAGAAATTCCTCGAGGGGCTCACCGCCACCTACGCGCAGCCCGGGTTCAATGAGATCGCCAAGAACAACGGTTTCGATGTGTTCGTGGGCCCGCGGGGTGCCCCCGAGAACGTCGGCGAGGTCCTGCAGGCCACCCACCCGGTGATCTGCACCAACCCGGTGACGGGCTGGAAGAGTGTGTTTGCTGTGGGCCACCATGTGCAGAAGATTGATGGGTTAACTGAGGAAGAGAGTCGCCATCTGCTGGACTGGTTTGTGAAATTGATTGTCGAGAATCATGATCTCCAGGTTCGGTTGCGGTGGCAGAATCCGAATGATTTGGGTAAGATGCTGCCTTTCGGATCCTTACTTTGATGTTCAAGGGAATGAAGTCGCTAACAAGGCTCATATACACAGCCATCTGGGATAATCGCAGCGTGTACCATGCGGCTACCCCAGACCACGAGGATTTCGGCCCACGCACTGGGCAGCGTGTGGTGGGGTTGGGGGAGAAGCCGTATTTGGATCCGAGCAGTACCGGAAGACGTGAGGCTTTGGCGAAGACTGCGTGAAACCAAGAGTTTGCTTTTGGTTGTGGATAAATGCTATGTGCGATGTGGTAGAGGCTAACAAATGTCTGTGTTTCATTCACTATGTAGCATCAGCGGATTGTGAAAATCGTGGCGCGTGACCAATCCAGCGTATTTTGTAGGCATAAATTGATCGCTTGACATGCTGTAATCTTTCTTTACGACAACAAGGCTGCTTGAGCTAGTCGAAGGATCCTCGACTGGTGAAGTATCGAATTCTACAATCTCAGCTCAGCACTAAACCAAGCCTAGTTTGCGCTATATGATTGCGTAACCTAGAGAGACATTCTCGTCAAGCAAGTCAATTAGGCATGTCATCGAACCTTTTTCGTTGTATTACAACAATATCCATATAAGGGTTGTGAGGCACAGCTGAACGGTGGAAATCACTCTATTGGTGCGGTCGGGTAGGGCGTTAACATGAGGGGCTTATGAACTTAGGGCTATTTAGCATCTCTGCGTGCCAGACAGAATTGCTTAGTATATTTTATATTGTTTATAGATTTACGAGCAGAGTAGAATTACGATGATAGGTTATGTAATTGGATAGTGGCATTGAGCTACAAAGGCTGCTTATATCACTGTTTACCTGGAAAGCGCGACAACTTCCTCCTCAGGAGGCTCGGCTGAAGTACAGAACTAGAAGACCGTTTGCTTCAAACCAGAAGGGCAAGATCTCAAAAGTTGTCGTCAAACCACGAGGCGACATTCACCAGGAGATAGACAAAGGCCGATCCCAGAAAGAACATCTTGATCGACCCACCGACAGCGAAATTGGGCCGGTAGGGGTAAGTCGACCAGAGGTAAAAGCCCAGGCTCGCAAATAGCGAGGCAAGAAGCAGCAGTCCCCGATCCTGGTAGTAACAGCCGATCTCGGAACTTTTATACCAGTCGTAGCCTCGGTACCAGTAGCTCATAATCAACTTTTGGATAAACCACAGGATAGTCTGGAAGACCAGAAAGGACCACATAGCAACACGCACGGTCACCTTCTGGTCCAAACAGGTTTCCTTGGTCGGGAACATTCTAGAGGTCTTGTTCTCCTGCAGTGGGATGTAGCTCTCCCGATCGACCGTCGGGGTTTCGAACTTCATTTTGGTAGGTGGTACACGAGTGATTCTTGCTAGGTCGGATTATGACTGGTCTTTCTCAGCTTGTCAAGGATCGTTCGCAGGGTGTTGACAATTGCCTCGAGAAGAAATCTTACATGGGTTTTAATAGACTACCGAGATCGAGATGACGCATCTCATCTAATACTGTCTTTCTTTGTCGGCTCTGCCTTTCCACCTAATATTCTTTAGTAGCTCCTGTGGTATACTGAGTAACAATAGAATACTGTCCTTAATTTACAAAGGGAGATCAAGCAAGTAACAATAGTAAATTGGATGCACAATGAGCAGCGGATCAAACGTTTTTTGATGTTCTGAAATCCCTGCATTTGTCTTTGTCTGCACAGAAGAGTCACACAAAGGCTGGCCTGATACCTAACAAGCAATCAATTGAAGGATTCCCTCAACTCACCTCAGCTCAATCTACGCCCCTGTCCCTGTTTGTTGTTGGAGAACAAGTAATTTCTTGAGCTGTCCAGGACAACAGGTCTTGGCAGCTTCGCAGAATGGCCCCATAGACAGGTGTCAGATCATCAGTATCCCTCAATACCGTTAACCAAAGATTCCCTCAGTGAAGTCCACCCAGGCTTGCCATAGAAGCTTTGCAGTAATTCCTCAGCGCGCCTGGAGGGCACAAGGTCAAACTTCTCCTTCACTATATCGTAGGCTTTGGGGACTTGGTTATTCTCAGGCCGTAGCTCTCGTAGAATCGTCAACACCTCGGCCCAGTTGTACGGGGCTGCGGCCGCGAAGATGCGCTCGGATTGCACGGCAGGGTCGAGCAATGCAATGACATGGAGACGCGCCGTGTCCTCCACATCAACATACCAATCTAGAGATGACCCGTTAGCTGCACAGTTTTAGTGCGATAAGATAGGCACCGGGAGTTCTTACGTGGTGGGATCATCTTCATTGCAAAATCACTTCCATTGAGCAAAGTACGAGTGAGGCGCATCGACGTGCCTTGATGCTCAGGGAATAGGATTGTGCCGAACTAGAAGCGTCAGAATTCGAAATTGATCTGGTTAGATGAACATACATTTATATTTGGAAGAACCGTGTTCAAGGTGAAATGCGGCTTGTGCTCCTCTATCCAGTTCCACGCGTTGCGCTCAGCGGTGACCTTGGCGGCAGTGTACACAGTGCTGGGCTTCATATGGTCTGGAGTGTCAGAGTCCCAGGCAGCCGCTACTGCAGCATCGTTCCAAGTGCCTATCCATTGTCAGCGAAAGAGCTGCAAGCTGTCCAACATAGAAGATGATGCTCACTCTGGTCCACAGTCTTGCTTGGCAATCCAAATGCATCATCCATCGCAAGACATGCTGCATTCACGGAAGAGGTAAGAATCACTCGTTTGATGGATGGCGCCTTTTGCGCGGCGGTCAAGACGTTCATTGTCGCTGCGACTACCCCGGGGATCACATCGTTTGGGTTGGGGCGATAAGACATGTCGGAAGCCTTGTTCAAGAAAGATTCTATCTAAGTCTCATTTCTAACGCGAGGGGTAGAGGCTGGCAGATATGCCTACCACGTGGACAATACCACCTGCATCTTGCACCGCGACATCCAGAGCTCCTTCATCTTCCAGTCGGGGAACGATCGCGGTCTCGAACCTGCCGGGGCCGTACTTGGATTCAAAGCCCTTGACAAGCCATGGCTTCTCCGAGCGTACAGTGCCTCGCACTCTATAGCCTTTGGCGAGAAAAGCGTTGATCACCTGGGAGGCGATGTAGCCGTTGGCTCCCGTGACCACGACCCAAGAGTCGATTGGTAGGGTATAGTCGGTAGAGATAGTCATGATGGTGATAATGGTGATAGTGATGATGAGTCGAGGCCAAAAATGAGCTGTTCTGAACACTGTCTCAGTCTCAAACCCAGGGTTTTTATACTCATTGTTCTGGCACCAGCCTCCACGATGAGGCTATACCCAAACGGTACGAGCGTAAGAACTGACGATGTGGCCAATCAGAGAGGGTGCTACGGGTGCGGGACCGACCGCCGATCGGAGCCGACCTCGGGGGCTCTGGCTTTCCCTACCATATCACACCGCACTACCCCTACTCCTACTAGATCAAATACCACGAACAAGCTCACATATAAGCGACAGAATGCACTGCTTTGCAACCTGACAGTCCCTACACCCTGCTATGAACTTCTTCGTCTATATGATCACTCTAGCCACCGGAGAAATCACACCAAGAATCCATGCCGTCCACTAGCATCTGACTCAGTGGTTGCTGGCCCCATTCGAATGTCCTCACTAGCACTATAGCACTGCAGTATCTTGCCGAATTCAACTCCCAAGGAAGACCATCTACAAATTCGAAGTTCAAAACTCATGGTCAGCTCGAATTTCTCTCTGGAATGCCTGCTCACCCCTATTCTCATTCTCAGGCATCCACCCACCGCCCAATCAGAAGCATGGAGGAGGTAGCCAGCCTTGCGGCGACGGCTTCACCCGCTAATCGGACGCCGTCACCATTAGTACTGCACACTAATGGGTTTAGTGAAGGATTATCACCACTATAACTCACCAACTATCAGCTCGCCGCGAAACAAAGGACTGTTTTAACTCTCCGGGTCAACTCACGTGATGCCGACCGATATCTCTCCGCGTCGCCCTCAGACTCGTGATTCCGCTTCTACTAATCTGACCACTCTGATGATCAGACAAGCCAGCTCATGGATCCTTCTACAGTAGCCAAACCCACGGTCAGAAACGGCAAACCAAGACAGAAGAGATGGTTTCCGCGAGTGAGAACGGGCTGTATAACTTGCAAGTACGGATCACCGAACCGGATAGTCCCGGACAGTCCGAGTCGCATATGCCACGTAGGCTAACCGTTGACAGAATCCGTCGCATCAAGTGTGATGAGAGAAGCACAGAGTCGCAGGTCGCAGACACATCAATCCTATTGCGCACATCTCGTCTGACACCCAGCGTGTCAATAGTTGTCAGAAGTGCGTGTCGACTGGACGCCGCTGCGACGGGTACGAGCCGATCCGCACGCCACCAGTGATGGGAATGCCCTCCGCCTGGGACTTTATCTGCGATGACTCCACCGAACTCGACAACTTCTCGTTCTTCCAGTCCGTGACCACTTCGACACTAGCTGAATTCTTTGACCCCGGATTCTGGTCCGATCAGTTGTTGCGGTTCGCCCACCATTATCCGGCCCTCTGGCACGGCATGACCGCTCTGGCCTGCCTGCATCGAGACTATGTCGGCCAGGATGTTCGCTTCACTGCGCCCGGAGCACGGGAGATTCGCAGCAGGCGATTTGCATTGAAACAGTACAACAAATCCATCCAGGCGCTGTCGGAACTGTGCTCCAAGCCCGTTCTAGGTTTGGAAGATCGCATCGTCGTGCTGGCCACCTGTGCGATTTTCTCGTCCATGTGCGTCTTGCAGAGCCAGCAGCACCAGGCGTACATGCACATTCGCAACGGGCTGAAAATCATCTCCGAATGGGAGTTCGACTACCAGGAAGTGACAGTGTGCGGAGACTATGTGGCCGCCAGTATGCTGGTCCTGATCTTTACTCGCCTCGACTCCCAGGTCATTCCCTATATGTTTGCCTGCGACGACGCTACGACGTGGATTGACCGTCAGGTGGTCCCACTGTATGCCCATGCCACATTCCTTACTCTCTTTGACGCATACGTATCTATCGAAGCGATCTACAATGGTGTGATGCGGCTGATGTGGAGGTTCAACAAACGGGGCGCGAATTATCGCCCCATCCCTCTCCCAGACCGCGAGGCACAGCTGCAACTCTTACAGGCGTGGGACCAACAACTGGCCATTGTTTTGGAGACGTTATCGGCAGAAGCCCGGAAATCCAAGGCAGTGGACCTACTGATGGTGCGCCGGACTCTGGCCGGGCTCTTCTACCATGTTGATCTCGCTCCCGGCGAATTGGCCGCCGACCTTTATCTTGCGGAGAGTGTGGAGCTCGTGGACCGGGTCGCGCGGATCCTGGGAGATGGGGGCAATGTCCATCTGCAGCGTACCAAGGCAGCGTACACTCTCGAGACTGGGATAGTTGAGCCTCTGTTCTGGGTGGCTGTCCGGTGTCGCGAGCCGCAAGTGAGACGCCGAGCGCTGAGGCTGCTCCGACAGTATCCCCGCCGCGAGGGTATCTGCGACGGCATTGTGGCGGCGGGGACGGTCGACAAGCTGATCGAAATCGAGGAGACAGGGTGCCCCCGCGCACGTGGTGATCCAGAGAAAGCAAGTCCCTGCAATGATGGACAGTGGGTGTGTGAGAAACATCGTGTCTCGACGTGGGACTTCGTTCTGCGGTCCGAAAGCGAGGTTGCCGTCACGTACAGGACGGTGGAGGACTTTGCTCTCGACCGCCCGGGGACAAAGCTGTTGTATTCGTGGTGGTAGACCAGTATGTTTGGTCGTTGCATCAGCGATTAGAAAATAGACAGATTGATTCAACCTTGCTTTGGTTTGTCGGCCGTCTTACAGAGGCAAGCCTCGACTTGAATCCGTCCTTGGATGACAAACTGTCATCGAAGAATATTAAGCCTTTTTCGGCTTCGCCGTAACCCTACATCACTACACCCAAGCCAAGAATCATTATCATTCAAATAAATACTTATCTGCCTTGATAGCCGACACACCATGGATTTCGGGTGCTGTCCTCCGTGTTGCTTCAAAGAGCACTATATTTTCAAAGACAATAGCACCGGCTAATGTTCCCTCGAGCCCCTCCCTCGCCAACAGTATATATCATGCACCATTCGCAAGATGCATGCACAAGCGGTAACGCGACATGGATTAAACAGGGAAATAGAAAGACGGAGGAATCATCAAACAACTGTCGGGCAGACTCCAATTGACGAGGATTCTAAGCGAGAGGGGATCTACAGGGGCAGGCCTCAAAAATCCGCCGTCCGAAACGCTCCCACCTCGGCAAACCAGCAGCCAAGCCCTGCTTGTGAACATGGCTGCAGATCCACATCAACCGAAGGACGTTGGTCCCTGACTATATTTCTAGCCTTATCAAGGGTCTGGCCAGTCAGAAGCCAACCAAGCAGGGTCTGGGAGTGAATATTCCGTTTGATCCGTCCCCTGGTGGAATACGAAATAAATACGGAGCAGGGCCGTGGCCACCCCAATTTCAGGACGGTCGGATTCATTGATATTTAGCACAACACCCTCAGCCCCAGGAATGGTGTCAGGAGCAAGATCTCACAGATTCATACCTTCACAATGCGCTCGATAGCCCTACTACTGGCCGCAGCCCTCCCGGCCCTAGCCACAAGCACTGCCAACAGCGACGCAGTAGCCGTGTGCGAGTACTTGCATACCACCTACCCCCAATACACCGTCTGGGATCCCACCGGCCCCGATGCTCTTCACACCTTCTGGAATCAATCCTACTATACGAACGCGGTGACCGAGTACTGGAACGGGGTCAACGCGGAGAACCGACCCGCCTGCACCTTCTTCCCCGCCAACGCGCAGCAAGTGGCTGCCGCGGTGCAGCAACTGAACCAGCATCCGGACGCCCCCTTTGCTCTGAAATCCGGCGGCCACAACTTCAACGTCGGGTTCTCCAGCACCAAAGGTGGCGTGCTGATCTCCTTCCACGAGAACCTCTCCTCGACCACCCGCAACCCCGACGGACAGACCTTCCACGTCGGGCCCGGCGCACGCTGGGGCGATGTCTACGCCGTTGCCGAAAAGACCAACCAAGTGCTGGTCGGCGGACGACTGGCTAACATCGGAGTTGCGGGTTTCACTCTCGGGGGCGGATTGTCCTACTACTCCGCCCAATACGTACTGCCCCTAGCCCTAGAACCCCGTTGCACTATCTACTTCCCAGCACGCCCAACCAACCCCCAAACTAATCCAGTACTAGGGCCTAACCTGCGACAACGTCGTCAACTACGAAGTGGTCCTCTCCAACGCGACCATCGTCAACGCAAACCGCACCTCCCACCCAGACCTCTGGTGGGCCCTGCGCGGAGGCGGGAACCGTTTCGGGATCGTCACCAAATTCACCTTCCAAGCGCACCCCCTCGGAGACGACGGCAAGATCTGGGGTGGGATCAAGGTATACACCGCCGACAAACGCGCCGCCATCTTTGAAGCCCTGGCGGAATTCATCCGCGACTACCCAGACGCCAAAGCGGCGGTGATCCCGACCTTCGACTTCGGGCTGCCGGGGGCCCTCATTTCGAACCCGATGCTGTTCTTCTTCTACGACGGCCGCACACCCAGCGCGGGCGCTTTCGCGGGACTGGACAAGATCGAGGCGCTGATCGACGGCACTAAAACGACCAGCTACACCGAGCTGACTAACGAGGCCGGCGGGGCCAAAATTTACGGGATCAAGGCCGCGGCGCGCGTGAACACCTTCCCCAACCTCGACCCCAAGAATATGTCCTCCCTGCTGGAGGCGCACTGGTCAACGTACCAGTCCATGATCCGGAATGACTCCTCCCGGGACCTCGATATTCAGATCGGCACGTTCACGCCGCAGCCGCTCTCGGTGCGGATCGCCAACGCCTCGCAGGCGCGCGGCGGCAATGCCCTCGGCTTGGACCCCCGCCACGGCGATAGGTTCTGGGTCGAGAATGACCTGATCTGGGTGAATGATCACTGCAACGAGGCGTGTCCCGGGTATTTGAGGGAGGTTGCGGATCGTGTGAATGTCGTGTTCGATGAGACGCTGCGTGGGGCAAGGCCCACGAATTACCAGTCCGGGGATGTGGATTTTGTTTCGTGAGTTTTCTTTTCCGGTGGAGTCTGTGGGTATTGGGAACGGGACTAACGCGATCGATTGAATGATGCAGGGTCAGTCCGTTGTTCATGAACGATGCGGCGGATTATCAGGATGTGTATGCCAGCTACGGGGCGGAGAACCAGGCGCGGTTAGAGCGGATCGCCAAGGCGTATGATCCCAACAGGTTTATGTTCCGGCAAGGGGGGTGGAAGTTCTGAGTCTTGGTTAGGTGAGGTGTTTGTCGGGATCATTCTGCATTAGCTTCAGGGTGTAATCTTGGGTTCTGCACTCGTGACGAAAGAGAACCCAGGCTAAGAGGGTGAGAGTGAAGGATTCTGCTAGGGCTTTGGAATTGGTTTTTCAATGTTGATATTCATCCATGGAGGGAGAGATCGGTTTTCATAGGACCGGTAGATCATTTTCCAATAGCGTATCTCCAGCTCATTACTGCGGTTGCTCTGCTCCACGATCCTCACTTCCCATCTCTCAGTCAAAGGACTAACCGTTTGTTGCGGAAGAATCATCCAGCAGTGTTTCTAGCTATGCTCAAGCATTTGTCTGTAATTCTTGATGAGGATTCCTCAGCCATGGACATTTTAATCGAAGACCAAGGCAAATTTCCTGCACAGTAAGCAAGGGGGAAGGCAGATCTCGCAGCAGCTGAAGATACCTTTCCGGTTCCCTTTGCAGTAGCTCACGACGGCCAGATCCCGGGCCCGGTGACTGTGTTTTACTCGTCCAAACCTTGGTTTGGCTTCTTCAGTGACGATGCTTCATGAGTCAGGATCTGCTCTTATCATGTAAGGTGGTTCTGAACTTGCGAGTCGGTGAGCAAGGCGGGGAGGGATGGGTGCACTTTCCATTGCCCTAAGCCGGGTACTGCCTCTCTCCCGGAGACGAGACCGTGGCAAAGTTATTTGCTCTTAAAATCTCAGTAAGCTGGTGGCGCTGTTGTGGATTCACTACACCCGCAAGATGTCATCAAATTCAGACCCAGTCAATCCAGCGAAAACCGATGGCCTTCGAGAAAAATTCACGGAATTCGAGGGAGTGAGGTTTCCTCCCGTGCCCTCGGACTCGTACCATGCTGCGTCGGATGGCCACGTTCGAAGAGTAATGTCTCTGGGAACATCGACGGGCAGTTCCCATGATAACATCTCAGCCCTGCTCTGCTTGAGCTGGGCCACGGTGCTGTCGTTGTACACTAATGCAAGTGACGTGCTCTTCGGGCTGATCGATGACAGCCACGGTACCGGCAAAGGGTCGGAGGCGCTCGTTCCCTGTCGCCTGCTACTGAAGCCGGAGGACACCCTCGCCGCCGCAACGGCGAAGATCGCTCAATTCCAGGATCTAGTCCCCTCATTAGAGCAGATCGGTCTGACCGAGCTGCGCACCATGAGCCCCGACGCCGCGAAGATTGGCACTTTCAACAACCTGCTCGTTATCCGGCGGGGAGCAGTTGGCAGTCGTGTTACGAGCTTCCTCGACCCAAATGGCCATCCCTACGCCTTGACGATCATCTGCACCGTGGAGTCTGACAGGATGTCGATCCACGCGCAGTTTGATCGTTGTGTTTTGGAAGAGTTCGTGGTGGACTCGATGCTGGATCAATTGGCCTCTGCCTTCGACTGCGCGCGGGATGGTAGCGCCTCCCAGGTCCGAGAGCTTCGAGTGATTAATCCCAGCGATATGCAAAAGATCCGGGATTGGAACTATCGCGTCTCTCTTCCGGAGAAAGGGACGACATGCGTTCATCATCTCGTCGAAAGCCGGTGCCGGCAGCGGCCGTCGGCCCCCGCCGTGTGCGCGTGGGACGGCGAATTGACATATGAAGAGCTGAACCAGCGAGCCTCTCGTCTGGCACGCCAGCTAGTGGTGCACCACGCCGTGAGACCGGACCGGCTCGTCTTCATCCTGACGGACCGGTCCATGTGGACGACGATTGCGGTGCTCGGGGCCCTCAAGGCCGGGGCGGGCATCGCGTTCCTGGACCCGTCTCAGCCCACGCATCGACTTGTCACTATCTGCAGCAAAGCAGAAGCCCACTTGATCCTGTCTGTTGATAAGCATGCTTCTAAGGCCAGGCATTTGGGACCTCCTGTGGTGACATTCGCGGAGATAGACAGCTACCTTGTGACAGACAACGAGGAAGAAGAATTCCACCTACCCACTATGCAAGGCCATCATGTCGCCTACGCCACTTTTACATCCGGCTCCACCGGAGAGCCCAAGGGTGTCCTGATCGAACACGCAGCCTTCACCTGCAACTACAGTCGGTATCGCGAGTTATCGGATCTGACCAGTGATTCTCGGGTGCTGCACGGCGCATCGTACGGATTCGTCGTCAGCATCCTCGAGAATCTGCTCACGCTGTCGGTGGGTGGCTGTGTCTGCATTCCCGCCGACTCGGAGCTGCAGGAATCCGTCACGGCTGCGATGCAAAGATACCGCGTCACCTGGACAATGATGACGCCCTCCGTGGCCAGGACCATTGACCCTGCCGCATCCCCGTCCGTAAAATCGGTTTTGCTGGCGGGCGAACCGATGGGACGGACTGACCTGCGCCAATGGGCCAGCCACGCCGATATCTACAACCTGTACGCGCAGTCGGAGTTTTGTACCGCCATTACCTTGGCTAGAAAGTCTGATGCTGAAGGGGAGGGCGGACCTAGTACCCTTGGACCGGCTGTGGGTTGCCATGCTTGGGTGGTGGATCCCCAAGATCATGATCAATTGATGCCCATTGGGGCAGAGGGGGAGCTGGTGGTTTCGGGTCCCTCAATGTTTCGAGGCTATGTAAACAATCCCGACCAGACGAGTGTAGCATTGATCGAGGATCCAAGATGGATGCAACCGCAAGAGATCGGAACGGGCTTGCAGCTGCTCAAAACAGGCGATCTGGTCCGCTACAACTCCAGTACCGGATCACTGGAGTTCCGCGGCCGCAAGGGCAATCGAGTGAAGATTCGTGGACAGCGAATCGAGCTGGGGGAAGTCGAGTTCCATCTGCGCACCCACTTTCCGGACTCCGGGAATCTGGTCGTCGATCTCGTGCATCCCGTTGATGAGAGTGCTGAGCAGCATCTGATCCTAGTGGCCTTTGTCCTAACGAGCGCAAAGGAGAAGATTCAACGGAATACCACCGCCGTCTTCGGGGCACCGACACCGGAGTTTCGTCTCCAGGTGCAACGTGCCTTGGCAGAGGTGCGCAATGTCCTTCCAGGATATATGGTTCCCTCGGCCTTTGTGGCTGTAACAACCTTTCCTCGTACCGTATCCGGGAAACTGAGTCGCGCTGCTCTGTGTGAGGCCGCGTCGGGATTATCTCGAAAGCAACTGGCCAGCTATACCACCGCTCCGAAGTCCTATCAGTCGCCTGCTACGGAGCCCGAGCGCGTGTTGCAGGCCGTTTGCGCGGAGCTGCTGGGCCTCCACCTGTCCTCCGTGAGCATGGACGATAACTTTATAGATCTGGGGGGTGACTCTCTCTCTGCCCGGCGGCTGGTGGCCATGGTGCGTGCCGAAGGCTGGGGCCTGTCCCTTGTAGATTGTCTTAGCGAGCCTACTCTGAGCCACCTGGCACTGCGCGTGCAGCAGCCAAGTTCAGACAACATGGACCCAAGCCCTCCAGCAGCTGCCCAAGACCCGTTCGAGTCAATGAAGGAAGAATTCCTCCGCAACCTGCCCGAGGGCCTAAACCCGGACCTCGTCGAAGACGCCCTACCTGCCAGAGAAATCCAGGGTCTGTATTCTCAAGAAGAGATCCAAGACTATCTCCTCTGGCAGCTTATCGGCCCGTTGGATACGAGTCAACTGCGTCAGGCATGTGAAGCCCTTGTCCAAAAGCATCCCATTCTCCGAACCATCTTCCTGCCATACCAGGACCAATGCATGCAGATCGTGCTGCGCAACATCAATCCTCCCTTCGAGGTCGTGCATTCCACCAGTGCGAGCCAAAGCCTGGATGTACTTGCCCGCTCGCTCGCAATGCAAGACCGCCAAATCCGGTACCAGACCATTCAGCCCATCGTCAAATTCACCCTCATCCAAGCCCAAAACAGCCACAAAGCAGAGCCCCCTATTCTAATCATGCGCCTCAGCCACGCGCAGTACGACGGCCTCTCCCTTCGCCCTTTACTCCACCACCTGGCGAACCTCTACACCGCTACGGCGCAGCCACTCCGCACGGACTACGCAGACTACACCCGCCGATGCCGGCAACTCCTCACCCCACAAGCCCTAACCTTCTGGCGCACTCTCCTCGACGGATCAATCCTCACAAGCCTCCACCTTCCCCAACCCTCCCCGGACCCATCACGGCCGCACCCAGCAGAAGACAAAACCCTACACCTCACGCGCACAGTCCCGCTACCCTCCCCGCTACCGCAAGGAATCACAACAGCCACCCTCATCAAGACCGCCTGGGCCACCGCGCTACACCAAGAGACCCACTCCCAAGATATCGTCTTCGCCCAGCTCGTCAACGCCCGGGACATCGACCTCCCCGACCTCGACACCCTGATCGGGCCCTGCCTGAACATCATCCCCGTCCGCGTCGGCTTCCCTCCTTCCCCGGCTACTCCCGACACCTCAAAGATGGGGGCACATGCCCTGCTTACCACTGTGCAAGCCCAACACGCCCACTCCCTGGAATACAGCACCTGTCAATGGCAAGAGATCGTCACCCAGTGCACTGATTGGGCGAGGAATGGTGGAACGAGTACAGTGAGCTCGATCGTGCTGCACGAGAACTTCGACGCCAAGCCCGAGGTGGATCTGGGTGGCGGGCGGAGGTGGAAGATGCTGTCGCCCATCCTCTCGAATCCGCCGGATCAGACCATCTTTTTGACGACGTGGCCCGAGTGGGATGTGCTTTCGGTGATGTTTTCGGTGTCGAGTCGGTGGGTTCGAAGAGAGGATGCGGAGCGGTTGGTGGAGCGGTTTTGTGGGAATTTGGCGGGGTTTGGGGGGTGAATCGTGCATGGCTTTGGGGCTTGGTGTATTTATCTCAAGTGCTTCGGGTTATGTTCTGGGGTTCTGATGTTGATTGATGTGGTTTGGTCTGCGATTTGTGGGTGCGGGAGTTCTCGGTGGATGTTGGAGACGAATTTGGAGTGCTCATCACGCTCTAATAGCTTTAGATATCAAAATCAGTTAAGGAAAGATCATGTTCACAAAACGAATACCTCTTGATACCGCCTCAACAGTTCTGTTTATACGGGTGGGCTCTTTTGCTTCCCACCATAGATCACACACCTCCAACATTCAGCCACGCCTTCTCCATGGATCTTTACGGAATGGCATCTTATCAAGCTCTTTGACAGATTTTCAGATCACATCATGTCTTCTATGGAAGCATTTCATACTCTGCTTAAATTCTATCTTCCGAGAAAGCTCGACTCAGATGGTCTCCCTCCCAGTTCTGGTATTAGGACTCTCATATAAGACGAGGCCTCATGGTCTCAAGTCTCCAAGAGAGGAGACAGTGTCTCCACTTTCTCCACTGCATAGACCAAACTTCCGTGGTACGCCGGAGAATCTGAATGACAACGTATATTGAGACCGCAAGGAATGCCCGTGAAGTGCTTACTTTGACGCGAACAGCAAGTCTCGGCGAAAAGACTTGGGGGAGGGAGACACTATTCCCGCCTTCCATTGGTAGGGTAGGAGAAAGAAAAGATGAATGGATGGTAAGATCTCAAATGAAACAACACGCTGTAGATACCGGCAAGGCCCGTGCCGGGAGGGAGACGATGTGGAAGGCGTATTTAGCATAAGCTGGCATCCTTCCGCATACTAACTTATGTGGATCCAGTTTGGTTGAGTTGATTTTTCTTTCTTTCTCTCTTTTTTTGGAGGGGGGAGCTACGGCACTAGTAAAATGGTATATGAGTAAGTATACTATTGTACTGCACAGTAAGTTAATATGCAGTACTTTTGTCTGGTCCGAATTCCGCTAAATGTCGGCAAAGTGATGAGCCGCTTACACTCACAATTTGCCCCTTTGTTTTGTTTTGTATTGCACCATCTCCCCCCTTCCAACAACACCCATTCGTCTCCATCATAGGTCATAGTCATATACATATACAGTCTGAAAGTCATTCATCCTTCCGACCACTCACAATGGTCATGGTCGAGGGAAACACCCACTTGAGCCGAAGCACGGTCCTTGTTACCGGTGGATCCGGGGGCCTCGCCAGCCGGATCCTCCAGCTCTTCGCGGAGCGTGGCTGCAACCAGCTACACTCCCTTGACCTCCGAGAACCATCTCACTATCTGCCCGGAGTGAGCTATCATACCGGAGACCTGACTGACGCCGACGCGATACGCCAGCTCTTCCAAGACGTGCAACCTGAGACCGTCATCCATACCGCCAGCCCGAAATTCGATTCTCCAAGCCCCATCATGTACAAAGTCAACGTGGAAGGCACCCGAGCCCTCCTCCAGATTGCGCGAGGAGCGGGCACTCAATGCTTCGTATACACCAGCTCAGCCAGCGTCATCAGCGACGCCCAGACGGATCTGATAAACGCCGACGAGACCTTCCCCGTCCTCCTCGAGGAGGGGCAACAGCCAGAATTCTACGTCTACACCAAGGCCCTCGCAGAGTCCTATGTACTGTCCCAGAACCAGCGCCGAGCCCCCAACCCCTTCCTGACCTGCGCTATCCGGCCCTCGGGCATCTTCGGTGTCGGCGACCTCGTCGTGCTCCCGGGCATCCTGGACGCGTATTTCCGCGGTCAGACCCAGTGGTAGATCGGCGACAATCAGAACCGCTTCGACTTTACCGAGAATACGAATGTCGCGCACGCGCATTACCTGGCTGCCGCGGCGCTGCGGGCCCAACTCTCGAAAAGTCCCGACTCGCCGGATGAGGATCATAACGATGATGACGATGATGACACGACAAAGGTAGATGGGGAGGCCTTTTTCATAACCAACGATGAGCCGCGATGCTTCTGGGACTTCACGCGGCTGGTGTGGAGGTTCGCGGGGGATACGACGCGGGGCGAGCAGGTATGGGTGATCCCACGGCCGTGGGCATTACGCCTGGCCGGCTTCCTGGAGTGGGTCTTCTGGGCACTGGGGCTGGGCCAACCCCCGTTGACCCGGACCAAAGTGCGGCTCAGCTGTATGACGCGGTACTTTTGCATCGACAAAGCGAAGACGCCGCTTGGGTATCGGCCGGTGGTGGGGCTGGAGGAGGGCCTGCAGCGAGCGGTGGAAGACTGCTTGAGTCGGCGGGCCACTGAGGGCTTGAAGAAGTTCTCTTGAATAGAACGGTTTTCTGGAAAGCGAAGATGGATTCAATCGATACATGTACCTCTGAGGCTGTGAGGCAGGGGATCCAGTATTCAATGTAGATTGAGAAAGTTAGTAATGGCAGAAGGAGAGAGAAGTTCTTAACCGCCCAAGTGAGGTTACTTGAAGCTATGTGACACACGGTCATATACACTCCTGCTTTAGGGAAAACCTCTATATGGCTTCAATCCTGGGGAGAGTAAGTTTCCATTCACATATAAGACCTGAGCCCACATTGGCGAGTGAGTGTTTCCTCGCATGCCGCATGTGATAACCGTGTCATCCATTCTGTCTTCTTGTCGAGGACATTGTTGACTGCCACACTCCTCTGCTCACATACCTCACATACTCATGCTTGACCATCAACCCTGTAAACCCACCAGCCCTTCAAGCCCTCAGCGTCCGCATCATCAGCCACAGCATAGCGACACCCACTCAAACTCGTCGCTCAACTCACCGTTATCGACATCTTGATATTTTGTCTCACATGGCAACACATCAAAATCCAGATCTTCCTCATCAAAGCCACCAAAAGCAGCACGAGTCAAGCGCTTTGGCTTTTCCTGAATAGGTCGGCCGTGTCGTACCAAAAGACAATTATCAATATCGAAGACCAAACTTACACTGCCCCCCCCCCCCCCCCCTTCCTTCTTTCGCCTCTCCGCCAGCATCACGCACAATCTCCCCTACGCCAGAATTCGCGTCAGCGACCCTGATCGCAAATATCTGAATCTGGTGGATTCCTGTCCCGCCGAAGCAATCACGCGCACTCAATCTATATTGACCACCGGATCGTCGGCACGTGACCCTGCCAGCTGTTTCGCAGGAGCTATTATAACAAGGGTATTTCCCCCTTTCCCTTGAGTACTAACTCCGAAAGAATCACAAGAATCACTAAGGGGCCGAAGGAGGGGGGGGGGGGGGGGTTGTATTTTCCAGCGTTAGAGGATGATGATGAGGTTGAAGAGTAAGACTAGTATGCCAGGTTACCCGAAATTCGAATTCACAAATGATTGCATAGACCGTCATCTAATGCGCCCCTTAAGAGGAAGGCGATCCAGACCCCCCCCCCCCCCCCCCTCCCCACACACATCAAAAGAGAAAAAGAAAAAGGTAAGGTTCTCAACCAGGCAAAACCCAGGTCGTCACCGACTCCTCCGGCACATTCCCACTCCACACCCCGCCCGACCCCAACGTCACCGTCACATACACATCATTCCCAAAGGTATTCTGGATCACCACCGTGCGCGAGCCATCCGGGTTCACCGAGGCCACCGACTGCACCCCGCCCCCGTTGTCATACGTGTAACTGCCCGTCCCGCTCACCACGACCGCCCCGGGGGGCATGAACTTGCTGAACTGCGCCATCATGTAATACGCCGTGTTCAGCGTGTAGCTCGTGGCGCTGTTCACCGTGACGAGCCCGTGGCAGGTGGCGCACCCGCCCGAGGAGAGGTGCGGCCCGTCGTCGGAGTCGGTGCCCAGCGTCCAGGCCATGACGCCCGCGGCGTAGTTCTGCAGCGGGCCCATCGTGAAATCCGCGGCTTGGTGCCACGCCCCGGACGCGGGCGTCCAGCATTCCGTCATGTACTGTTCGGTGTTTGGGTTGGTGCTGTGGAAGCTCGAGAGGACGGTCCAGTCGACGTTGCTGGCGTAGCAGTGCCACGCGACGGCGGGGACGTAGGTGCTCGCGCCGCTGGAGAGAATGGTTTGCGGGTAGCTTGGGACGTCTTCATGCTTGTTAGTGGGCGGTGGTGGGAATGGGAGATGAGAAAGGTAGTCTCAAGGGGCAAGTACCGGTATTGTGGTCGTAGGCCCAGACCTTGGTGTCGAGGCCCGCTTGCGCCAGGGCGGGGCCGACGTATTTCTCGATGAGGTCTGCGGACTCGTATGCATACACGTACATGGTCGGGTAGCCTGCTTGGCTGTTCAGAGGCTCGTTCTGGATGGTGATCGCGTCGATCGGGGCTCCCAGGTTGGTGTACGCTTGGATGTATCTCACGAAGTACTGGGCAAAGGCGGCGGCGTAGCCCGTGCTGCCTGTGCCGCCACTGGTCAGGTACCCGTCGTTCAGGTTGTTGTTGGTCGTGCTGCCGTCGATGACGCCATTGAGTTTCATCCACCCCGGCGGGCTCCAGGAGGAGCCCAGGATCGTGAGGCTGGACTGCAGCGTCTTCATTGTGGCGAGGAGCTTGGCCATGGCGGTGCCCCGATCGCCCAGGTTGAAGCCGGTCAGCGACGGGTCGGCGGCGTTGTTGTTGTCGTCGTAGGTGTAGGCTGGGTCGCCGGAGAGGTCGGAGGCGCCGATGGTGTGTCGCATCAGAGAGAAGTTCGCGCCGTCGGTGGTCATCAGCTCGTTCAGCAGCTGTTGGAGCGTGGCTTGGTTCAGGGTGTTGAAGGATGTCACGGTCGCGTCGGTGACGGCCGCCCCGAAGCCATTGATGGTCTGCCGGTGGCCGGACGCAGTGTCGTCGACGGTGAGCTTCCAGGTAGACGCAGATCCGGGACTGCCGTTGCCTTGCACGGGGGCAGTGATGGAGCTGAGTTTGTAGTTGCCCGCCGAGTTGGAGCTGTATGCTGCAGCCTCGGTGGCGCGTTTCCCGCTGGCCGCGGCGTGGCCGACGGCAATCAAGCCAGCCAAAGCACCTAGGTTGACAAGCATTCTGGTGTGTGTTTTCTGGTTTGTATGGCTTCAGATCGTGCAGACTGAGTGATAAGACCCTGAAGATAAATAAGCAGCTGGAATGCTAGGGGTGGTGGGGGGATTGTCTCCACAACTGACTCGCTTCTTGGCATTAGGTGTTTCATGGGCAATCCTGCTATGCCCCAAGTGTTGGTTGGTAGCATTGGGGGCCGACAGAAGCTCCAGTCATCATGGCCCAGGCGTTGCACAGCCTGCCCAGAAGGATTCAGCTTGTTTAGAAATCGAATGGGGGCTGCCCTTTTGGGAGAGTGGTCCCTGACCCAAGGCCCGGTTGGAAATGAAAGGGGCCATCTTTGCCTGTCTGGGATGCGATCGGAGGCGGGGGAAAGCTTAGTCGGCTGTCCGTCGGGGCTAACTTTCAAATTACAAGCCGTCTTAGCTCTCGTATAGCGGTGATTGAATCGCACGAGGCTTTCAAGCTGGTACACTGTAACTTATCTTGCCTGACATAATGCCGTTGTGCCGCTGTGGGGTGGCGAGGGCGAACTGAAAATAGACATCTTTACCTTGAGGTACGCAGCGACGATATTGAGCTCCCATCTAACTCGAAGCTGCATAAGCCGGAGTATGGGACCGAGGAACCATTAATATGATATCAGGCAGAGAGTATTGAGATTTTGAAGAATTGAAGTGTTCGAGGGCATTGAAAGTGGCTGCCGAGGCCAAACAGTAAAACAAACATAGTAGAGTTGTTTTATCTCCACGTGACTGTTATCAAAACACTTACAGTGGGAAGTAACGTAACTATTACTCACTGTAGCGTACATAAGTGCCAGGCAGGCAAATGACATGCACAGTCTACAGTCTCAAAGACAATTTGGTAATTGTCGTCATCAGGCGCGATGCACCTTGATACAGAAAGCACCTTGGGCAAGTGCTAGCTATAGCGGAGGCACATTCACTACGTAGCGCAGATTACTGAACCAGTCCGTCGTTGAGTATGATGCCTCCTTCTCGCCAGATGGCCAATGAATCACCTTCACTAGTGAGCGTGACGGCAACGCCAACCTCTACCGTTGCCGCGTGGACGGGTCGGGCATGGAGAAGCTCGTGGTCACACCTGCAATGGAAGATGCAATGGCTTTATCCCCAGACGGAAGCAAAGCAGCATTTGGTTCGACTGCGAACGGCTACAAGACCATTATCTGGGTGATGGATCTGAAGACCGGCAGCAGTTGGAATTTGACCAACACAACGGTGACGGCCTGCGACCCGACGAAGATGAACGGATATTTTCGCCCGCCCGCAGTGGTCTGCAGACGGCGAATGGATTCCGTTCTCTTCAGACCGCGGTACAGACTGCCTGGGACATGACTTTGGCGTGGGCTGGGAGCATAGTCAAGAGCTTTCGATCTATGCCATCCGACCCAATGGCACCGAATCCCGAAAAGGTTGCTTCCAAAGTTGGGTATTTTCTCGGCACACCCAAGTGTTCACCAGATGGCAAGCGGACTTTCTTCTATGAGACCACGCGGGAAGGAACCTGGGAGGCCCGTGAGACTGCTGAAGTAGAGGAGGCTGCTGACGGATAGTAAGTGGGAGGACTCGATGCCCATCTATCTTCCCAACGAGCTGCCTATAGTGAGTCTAGGCGACCGGATATTTAGAACTACCTGTACCTTCGGATAATTGAAGCAAGCCTTGGTCCTTGAAAACAAGATGCGGATATTTCTTCGGATGTTTTCGGATATTTGGAGTAAGAATGGAATTACTCTCTTCTGTCCAAAGTTGTGTGGAATTCATCGACATTTGTGTAAATTGTTGTAGTGAGAGTGGCGGGAAATGCGGGGACTGCGGAGATGAAATCATGGTGTCATGTGACCCTCCGCCGGAGCTCGGACTCGATTGCCGTCCGGCCTTAGGCATCCAGCACCTCACCCCCCGTTCGTATGTTGTTATGACCACTGTCTGTATTTCACTCTTCCTCTCCCTCCCCTCAGCCATCAGTATCAACTCCCGTCATTCTTCCTCGGCATTACCCCAGTAGGTCTGTGTGACTTACCCCTGAGTCCCCCTGACTAATGCACGTAATATCAGCCCACGTACCCCCTGCATAGGTTCTCGGTGTGTATTTCTCCGTGAACCCCTCATTTCCCCGCTCGTTGCTTAATCTAATTTTGATTGTTCCAAGTCTGCACCAATCGCTTATCCCAGATTCCAGCGCTAGAGCCTGCATGAAGTCTATAGCCTGAAGACCAGGATGAGCCCACCAAACGGAGGAAATTGCCCTTGCTCTCGGCAATACCGCCAGAATCCACCATGACACCGGAGCTCAAGGGAAGTGACGATGGCTATAGATACTTAAAGCCGAGTGCACGGTTGCAGAACGAGATTTCCTCAGTATCTGATAGCTTTGGCTTATACTCACCATGAAGCTTTGGTCGTCCTTGCTGCTTGGGGCGAGTCTGCTCACCGGGACTCGGGCCACCACCGACGGTCTAACAGACCTGGTGTCCTGGGATCCGTATAGTTTGTCCGTCAATGGCAACCGACTCTTCGTTTTCTCGGGCGAATTTGCCTATCCGAGACTTCCTGTGCCCGAGCTATGGCTTGACATCTTTCAGAAGATGCGTGCCAATGGGTTCAACGCAGCCAGGTGTGTGGACACAAATGCCTCTACAATCGAACCTTTGATTCGATCTTATTGACCATTCGATATCGAGACTGATGACGATTTAGTGTCTATCTTTTCTGGAACTTCCACTCGCCCGTTAATGGAACCTTCGATTTCGAGACTGGCGCTCACAATCTGCAGCGTCTGTTCGATTACGCTCAGGAGGCTGGAATTTATCTCATTGCCCGGTAAGCCTTGCTGCCTAGAGGTCACTGGTATTGAGCTAACACACGATGCAGACCAGGGCCCTATGACAATGCTGAGATCAATGGAGGCGGTCTAGCTCTCCACTTGAGTGATGGCAGCGGAGGCTCATTGCGCACGGGCGACGCCACGTACACCGCGGCCTGGCAGCCATGGGTGGAAGAGATTGGCAAGATCATTGCTGCCAACTCCATTACCAATGGCGGACCGGTCATTCTCAACCAGATTGAAAACGAGCTGCAGGAAACGACCCACAGCGCCAGTAACACTTTAGTCCAGTACATGATTAAGTTGGAGGATGCCTTTCGGGCCGCTGGTGTCGATGTCCCCTTCACCCACAACGAAAAGGGAATGCGCTCCGAGAGCTGGTCCACAGATTACGAAGACGTTGGCGGTGCAGTGAACGTCTACGGCCTGGACTCCTATCCTGGTGGTCTCAGCTGCACCAACGAAGCCACCGGATTTAATGTCGTCCGCACCTACTACCAATGGTTCCAGAACTACAGTTACACCCAGCCCAGTTACATACCCGAGTTTGAAGGAGGGTGGTTCTCTGCTTGGGGAGCATCCTCCTTTTATGACACCTGCACGAGCGAACTTAGCCCGCAGTTTGCGGATGTGTACTACAAGAACAACATCGGTCAGAAGATAACCCTTCAAAGCATCTACATGACCTATGGTGGTACGAATTGGGGTCATCTAGCAGCCCCCGTTGTGTACACATCATGTGAGTTAATTCGTACCTGTCAAATGGGGAAGCGGCCCTGACCAGATATAGATGACTACAGCGCTCCGTTGAGTGAGAGCAGGGTGGTCCGGGACAAGATGAGCCAAACTAAGCTTATTGGCCTATACACCAGAGTGTCGACTGGACTGCTTACCGCAGACATGGAGGGCAACGGAACAGGCTACACATCCAGCACATCTGCGTATACCTGGGTGCTCCGGGACTCGCAATCCGATGCCGGGTTCTACGTTGTGCAGCAAGCGACAACCCCTTCACGCAGTTCCCTGACCTTTGACCTGGACGTGACAACCTCCGCAGGCAATGTCACATTGACCGACATCAACCTCGATGGACGACAAAGCAAGATCATCTCCACCGACTACCCGCTGGGACATAGTACCATCCTGTACGTATCAACAGATATCGCCACCTACGGAACCTTTGGTGACACCGATGTGGTTGTGCTATACTCCCGAGTCGGTCAAACTGCGTCCTTTGCGTTCAAGAACTCCGGACGCCTCAACTTCACAGAGTACGGGCCATCCGTCAACCTGACTCAGGGTTCCGGAAATTCAACCACGCCCTCGTACACCTACACCCAGGCCAGTGGTACCAGTGTCGTTCAATTTTCAAACAAGACGATCTTCTACCTTCTGGACACCGATACAGCATTCCGATTCTGGGCACCACCGACCACGAATGATCCTTACGTGACTGCTGACCAGCACATCTTTGTCATTGGGCCCTACCTGGTCCGCAACGCCTCCGTCGATGGAAGTGTTGTTAATCTCATTGGAGACAATGACAACACTACTACCATTGAGGTCTTTGCTGGCGCATCGGTGAACACTGTGAAATGGAATGGCAAGCGCATCGCCGTGACCAAAACCGCCTATGGCAGTCTGGTCGGGTCCATTGACGGGGCGTCCAGCACGATCTCACTGCCTGCTCTCAGTGGCTGGAAGGTCAAAGACTCGCTGCCTGAGCTTGAACCCGACTATGATGACTCGAACTGGACTGTGTGCAACAAGACTACCACGTTGAGCCCCGTACAGCCCTCTACTCTGCCGGTACTCTACGCGTCTGACTATGGCTACTACACTGGTATCAAGATCTACCGCGGACGCTTTGATGGCGCAAATGTTACTGGCGCCAGTCTCACCGCACAGGGAGGTGTGGGCTTCGGTTGGAATGTCTGGCTGAATGGCAACTTGGTTGCTACCCTGCCCGGTGACGCTTCCGCGACCTCATCCACTGCGACTCTGGACTTCAGCAACCAGACGCTCAAGGACACGGACAACCTTCTCACTGTTGTGGTATGTCGAATGCCGGCTTCTCATTGTTGGAGATATTTATGCTGATCATCTTACCGTAGATCGACTACACCGGCCACGATGAAACCTCCACTGCCAAGGGCGTGGAAAACCCGCGCGGCCTGCTCGCTGCGACACTGACTGGCGGAAGCTTCACCAGCTGGAAGATCCAGGGCAATGCTGGAGGAGCTGCCGGTAAGAACTTTGTTGTATCCTTTTGACAAGTCTATACCGAATCTAATAAGATGCTAGGAGCTTATGAGCTGGATCCCGTTCGTGCCCCAATGAATGAAGGCGGACTGCTGGCCGAACGCCAGGGCTGGCATCTTCCGGGCTACAATACCAAGTCATCGGATGGCTGGACTTCAGGATCCCCTCTCGATGGACTGAACAAATCCGGTAAGTTCTACCTCTGTTCTGTGTACGGTGAAAGATCGGAGAAGGAAACTAACCTCTGAATCAGGCGTCGCATTCTACCTGACCACCTTCACCCTCGACCTGCCTAAGAGCTACGACGTCCCCCTTGGCATCCGCTTCACCTCCCCATCCACCGTCAATCCCGTCCGCATCCAGCTGTTCATCAACGGCTACCAGTACGGCAAGTACGTCCCGTATCTGGGACCGCAGACCACGTTCCCGGTTCCCCCCGGCATCATCAACAACCGGGACAAGAATACCATCGGTCTGAGCGTGTGGGCCCAGACTGATGCAGGTGCCGCCTTGGAGAACATTGAGCTCGTCACCTATGGTGCCTACGCGAGTGGGTTCGACGCTGGGTCTGGCACGAGCTTCGACATGAACGGTGCGAAGCTGGGATACCAGCCTGAGTGGACTGAGGCTCGGTTGAAGTATACTTAGGTGCTTGCGTGTTTCTAAGATTGGTGATAAGATGTTTTGGGTTGATCTGATTTGCATCGTGTTTTTCTTGGGTTTCAATTCGAGTGAATATTCTCAACAATGTTTATTTAGTTATAATATGGATAGCGTCTCAATACTGCCTTCCCGTTCATTTCTAATTACTACAACCACCCATAAACAATTCAAAATCCAAGTTACCCTCCTGTACCAGGACCAACTTGTGGTGTCTCTGTATTTCAGTATCCTCCAGCAGACGACCTCATTCCTCATCCAATGCGAACCGGTCCAAGAACCTGAAAGTATACAATCCCTCCAACACCTCCGCCGCCAACCCCGTCGCATTCCCAGCGACATACACCCCGTCCCTCCCAACCTCAATGCCCGCTCCCTTCAACGCCCACTTCCCACTCCCCACTGCTCCAACTGGCTTGCCATACCGAAACGCATCCGCCAGAATCTGCCCCGGCCGACCAGGAGGATACATCGTCGTCGCATTGCCCGTCGTAAACAACCCCTCCACCCCATCCGCCACAACCACCGCATCAAACCCGGAAGCATCGGAGAGCGCATACGTCGTATTCACACCCTCAGCCCACACCTCCGCGACAACCTCCACATCAACCCCATGCACCGCCAGCACCCTAGCCAACTCCGCCCCAAGCCTCAGCGACCCCTCATGTTTAGTCGACGCCAGAACCCCGACCGATAGGCCCTCAACACTGAGCAACCGCTGCCCAAATGTCCCAACATTCACCGTCGCATTCGAGGTATAGTACCTGCCCTCAGGCTCCGGCACCTCCAACCCCAGCCCCCTGGCCACCCGCGTCGCCAACGCATGATCCACGCGGTTCAACTGCGCGACCACATTCCGCCGCACATGCACACTCGTCACCTTGGAATTCTCAAACACAATCGCATTCACCACCATCTGCTGCTCCGCGGGCACCAACGAGTTCCAGAACAGGGCCGGCTGGGACCAGTGATCGGCGAAGGTGGGGCTGGGCTCGCGCACGAGATGGCCGCTGGTGTAGCGGTA